ACAAGAAGTCCCAGGTCCTCCACACTCTTGCCAATACTTGGTATAATCAGTCTTCTTTGTCCGTTCTAGTAGGTGTGAGATGCTGTCACATTGTGCTTGTAATTTGCATATCCTTAATGATTAATGATGCTGAGCATCTTTTCATGTCCTAATTTTCTATCTGTATGTCTTCTTTGGTGAAGTGTCTGTTCAAATATTTTGTCCATTTAAAAAACTGAATTGTTTGATTTTATCTATTGACTTTTAAGTGTTCTTTCTATATTCTGGATACAAGTCTTTTATCAAATATATGCTTTGCAGATATTTTCTTCCAGGCTGTAACTTATCTTTTCAGAAAGTCTTTGGGCACTATGGCTTAGTGAAACGCTTGTGCCAGGTTCTCCTCAGCGCATCCCCCTGGTCACAGCCACCCCCACAGGTTCCATTTCTGTATCTGTGGTGACCTCCTTCTGCAAGTCAGGCTGAAGTCCCAAGCTCCTGACCCATGTCTCCAAGTGCCCACCATGCAATGTTCTTTGGATGTCCCATGCAAAACAGCTCACCATCCTCTCCCCAGACCAGCTGCTCCTCCAGAAGCCCTGTCTCCGTGAATGGCCCTGCACCTACCCGCCTAGAGATCCCCAGGAGTCGGCCTTGGACATCCTTCCCACTTTCACCTCCTGTCATCCAGAGCTGTCAGTTCTTCCTCCTGAACATCTCTGGACACTCACCCTCTCCGCCACACACCACCATTGTTCTCACCCGCACCACTCACCCGAGACACCCTTCCTTCCTTTACAGGAGTGGCCAGAGAAAAACTTCTCAAATACAAGTCGGGCCATGGCACGCCGGTAAGGACCTTCCAGCGGTCTCCTGTGCACTTAAGCAAGATCCAGACTCCTTCCTGGGACAAGTAAACCCCCTGATGAGCTGGTCCTTGAGCAATGTGGGGGTCTCTTGCCCAGAGCCCCTCACACTCTTCAAAGCCAGCAGCTGAAGGGCTAGCTGTAGCTGTCTGTGGAGTCCAGCCGCTGCTCCGTGTGCCTGCCCTCTGCCGGGGATGGAGCCTCGTTTCCCCACTTGCCCACCTGCGCCCAGCAGCGCAGCTGAAGGCCGGGCTGCTGAGAGGCTGGGAAACGCTGGGCTTTGGGGTCAGCAATGCCAGCTCCACTACTCACTGCCTGTGTCACCCTGGGAAAACAGCTCTGGTCCCAAGTTCCCCGTAAGTAAAACAGGGCAGTCATCCCTCCCCTCCTCAACGACCTATGTCACAATCAGCAGCCACAGATCTCTGCCACCCAGCACGCTGCCTTGGTCTCCTCCACCACTTTCCCCAGCAATGAGAACGGCGCCAGGCCCAGAACAGGGCCGACACTGGGTGAGGCCAGCAAGGCGCTTAGGGAAAACTTTCGGGCAGCGCCCACTCTCGGGCTCGGGCAAGAGCACGGTCTCTCTGGGAGCGAGCGACTTCGCAGAACGCGCCAGGCGCCGGACTACGTCCTGAGGCGTACACTCACCCGTAAACGCCCGGCTAGCGTTGGGCCCGGCCCTCAGGATTGGCGCCCTGCCTAGTGGCCATTGCCTGTGACGTCACCGGACGCGTCCGCCTCTCGCTGGAGTGATCCGGGCCCGAGGCTCTGGGTTTGTCGGGGCTGCTTCAGCTTCCCGGCTGGTCCCAGTCACTGGTGCCAGTGCTCAGGCGCCCGCCGCCCTTAACCTTCGGCCCCGCGAGCCCTAACTGGGCGCCGGAGGACCGGCTGCCGCCCCCAGGTAGACTGGGTCTGGCTGGGTCAGGCCAGAAGGGTGTCCATGGCGCGCGTCTCGCGCCGAGGCCAGAACTGGAACCGGGTCCCCAGCAGCTTCCGACCACACTGACGGTGTGGAACCGTGTGAGCGCTCACTAACTGCAGGGGACGGAGCTGGGCATATAGGGAAACTGGGGGTTTCCGGGCGAGTGGATTATTGTTTGGGATCCGACGTGCACACTACCGTCTCAGGCTTTGGAAGATGGAGGCTGCTGTTTCCACCTCAGGTCACCGCCCCTTTGCACTGACTCTTGCAGAGCTGGATTGAGCTCGGGCTGCGTGCGTGACATAGGGGTTGCCGCAGACACCCCAGGGCCACTTTCTGACGGGTACCTTGGGCTCGTGACTTGGGCTCGAAGTCAAAGGACTTCGCTCCTTTGAGAGTCAGTGCCCCCTTCTGTAAAAAGAGGGCGCTCTACCTGAGGGGATTGCTGTAAGGTTGGAATGAACCTGCCTGTATGTCTTGTGGGGTGGACGCAGTCAGTGGAACCCGGGGTTAAGGTAACCAGCCTTGTCCCTGAGGCAACAGCCAGAGGGCGCCTGTAGTTTCCCCCACGCATGGATGTTAGCATTTAGGTCCTCTGGAGGATCTCCTGTGGAGGTCCCTGCTTCTCACCACAATCTTTAGGGCCTTTGGAGGATTTCCTACGGAAGGTCGCCACTTCTCACAACACTCTGGGTTAAAATATCGTTGGGGGGATGGGGGATGATTTGCTTTATAAGCCCTGAACCAAGGACTTCAGTGTCATCCGGACTTGGATTCACATCTCAGCTCCTTCCCCTCCTATCTCTAGGACTGCGTAGCCTTGGACAAATTCCTTAGCCTCTCTAAGCCTTAATTTTTTTCGTCTCTAACTTGGGGCTAACAGTACCTACCTTCCACAATTGTCAAGAATTAAATCAGGCATTGTAGGTAGAGCACTTAATAGTTGGCATTCAGCGGCAGCAGTTACCATTATTTTGGGGTGTGGACTGTCTCAGCGTGTGCAGTTTGGCTCAAGCAGCCTTTTGACAGTGGCACAGTTGGTGCTTGTGTAAGACAGCAGGGCGGGGAACTCAAAGCCCTCGGTTTTCTGGTCAGATTGGCGGGCCACAACAGTGGTTACGTAAGTCTAAGGAGTCTTTAACTGAACAAGGCAGATTGAATTATCCAGGTGAGGACCAAGAGGTTGGCGCTCAGCTGCCTCCACATTTTGGGGCATAGAAGGCTATACAAACAACTTTACTGTAAGAGCAAGGAGCAATTCAGGGAAGGCACTATATGGTAAGGAATAGAGGCCAGACTTGGATTAAGGAAAAAAACAAAAGGGTAGTGTTTGTCTTTAAGTGGAGCCTTGGACTCAAAACAGGACCTGAGCCCTGTGGATGATTTTTTTTTTTTTTGAGGTGGAGGTGCTCTGTCACCCAGGCTGGAGTGCATGGCATGATCTCAGCTCACTGCAACCTCATCTCCTGCGTTCAACCGATTCCTGTGTCTCCGCCTCTCTAGTAGCTGGGATTACAGGTGCCAGCCACCACTACCAGCTAATTTTTTGTATTTTTAGTGGAGACACGGTTTCACCATGTTGGCCAGGCTGGTCTTGACCTCTTGACCTCAAGTGATCCACCCGCCTTAGTCTCCCATAGGTGTGAGCCACCGTGCCCGGCCCTTGTGAATACTTTCGTGATTTGAGGAGGAAAGGCACAGCCATGTCTCCTGAAGTTAACAGGCACTAAGCTTTCCCAAGTAGTGAAAAGTCAAGGCCCTGCTTCTGTCATTTGTTCATTCAGTAGAATGTCACTGAGAGCCTTCTGTGCAGCAGGCACAGTGCTAGGCAGTGAAAGAGACAGACATGTCCCCTGGACCCAGGGAGGAGATGACCAAGTGATACCTGTCAGGCCCAGACCCTGCTGTTGGTCTGCAACCTCTTCCCTCAGGCTACTTATTCTCTATCAGGACAAAAGAAATAATTATCTGGAGAGGCAGGTGAGGTGCTGCTCCTAGAAGACTGGGACAGCCTGGTAGAGGGTCTAGCTTGATCATGTGACCATTGGAAACCATGTTAAGTAGGAGGTTAACAGGAACAAATTAACGTTTAAAATCATCTGCATATGGCCGCTGTGAAGCCTATTTCACCAGCAATCTCTTGCCCACGTTGTGCTGCCACTCAGCTAATTCCTGGTCCTGCTCATTCAGCCCAGTTCAGCTCATATCACTTCTCGAGGAAACCAGACAAGAGTAGGGCCCCTGATCATCTTCACAGTATTAGTCCTGGTAGCTGAATCTTAGGTCAGTTGTTAACGTCTGTGACCTCTGCAGGGAGAATGGCAGGGCTGAGTTTGAGCTACATTGTTTCCCCAATGCCTGCAGCAGAGCCAAGCACAGTGGGAACTTTCAGAAAGCACTGGTTGAAGGAACCTTGGAATCCCTGGGACTTAGTGCCTATCACATAGTAGTTGCTCCTCTAGAAAACTTTCACCTTATAAAGTACAGCAGAGTAAAATACAAGCCCGGACCACTTCCCATGTGGTATGCAGGGAACAGTTGATGGGGCAGAGGGCCTTGGGCTGTAGCCCTAGGAATTTCAGGGATCCTGATGATGGCGCTGGGATCCTCCATCTCATGGATTCTGCTTTTTTCTTTGCAGGCTCTGATGCTGGTCTCTGGTAGAAGAAGGTTGCTCTCAGGTCTTCTGCAGGCTCAGAAGTGGCCCTTTCAACCATCCAGAGACATGAGACTAGTGCAGTTCCAGACACCCCACCTGGTGGGGCCTCATTTGGGCCTGGAAACAGGGAATGGTGGAGGAGTTATCAACCTCAATGCCTTTGACCCCACACTCCCCAAAACAATGATACAGTTCCTCGAGCAGGGAGAAGCCACCCTGTCAGTGGCAAGAAGGTAAGTAAGTGGGCAGCATCGCCCTGAAGCAGCTGCCCTGGTGCCCCTGCAACCTCCCACCCCATCCCTGCTCTGAGAAACGGCACCAACAAGTAGCTCTTTTGCAAGTGATCAGAGTAACCCCACTTTCCTTTCCCACCTGTTCTCTTTAAAGATGCTTAGAAATCTTATATAACAACATCTTCCAATTTTCAGAGGGGAAAACTGAAGCCTAGGAGAGGTAATTAACCATCCCAAGGCCATACATTTGGTGCTGGAACCAGGACTCTATACTTCATCATATTGCCTCCTCTGGGAGTGGAGTCCTTGACTGACAGGTCTGGGACTAGGGGTCCTAAAAGGCATCTTACGCAGCTAGGGGAGTGATTTAGACTCCTGGATCCTGCAAGGAGAGAGGACTGCAAAGAAGTTTTCTACAATACAATCGTTCCTGGGTTTGGACTAGATTAGGTGAGAGTGTCCCTGAAGCCTGGAGCCCTGTAGAATCTGGTCTAAGGAGTTGATGAACAATAAATTAAAAACACTTTAAAGATGTCATTTTCATCTATTAAAATGGGAAAAAATACAAATATTTCCCAGCCCACAGTATCATTAACTGTATGTTCCCATATTGCCATATTCTGCAAAGATTGGAAACAACCTCCATGCCCTTCATTAGGGACTTGGGTATATCTCTATAAAGCAGTAATATGTAGCCACAAGAAAAATAGAGGAAGCTCTCTATGTATTGTTACATATTGTTAAGGAGAGATCTCCAAAATCAGTTGTTTTTTTAAAAGGTCTAAATAGTGTGCTATCATTTCCATACAAAAGGGTGTGAGAAGAATATCTATAGAGTAGCAGTGAAGAGCCAGGGGAATGGGGTAACCAGAAAGGGAAACCTCTCCATGTATTCCAATTTGTATCTTTTGAATTATCTTACATGGACATGAGTTACCTAAAGGGAAGAGGAAATCAACACTGGATAAATAACAGCCCAGCTCTGATATCAAAGGACAATAGCTGGGCTTGATTTTCACACTGACTCTGATGGTTGATAGAGCTAGGAAATCATTTCAAAAAGCAAAACCTGTAGCTGCTGCAGGATCTGCCCAGCCTGCCCGGGATTTGCAACCTGTTCCCAGCCAGACTGTCTCACTTGCTTTGGTCTCTACAGAGCCTTGGCTGCCCAGTTGCCAGTCCTACCACGGTCGGAGGTTACCTTCCTGGCTCCGGTCACGCGGCCAGATAAGGTGGTGTGTGTGGGCATGAATTATGTGGACCACTGCAAAGAACAGAACGTGCCTGTGCCCAAGGAGCCCATCATCTTCAGCAAGTTTGCCAGCTCCATCGTGGGGCCCTATGATGAGGTAGTCCTCCCACCAGAGAGCCAGGTCAGTGCCTCCCCACTGCTCTCCCTAGTCACTGGTCCCACCAGAAGGGCGTTCTGAGCTCAGTATTCAGCCTGGAGCCACCTCTCACTCAGTAGTGCATTCAACAGAAACTTTAGGCGATTATACACATAGTAATAGCACTGGCCTTGGAAGTAAAGTTAACGTACATGTTTTCCCAATTACAAAACCAATACACCTTCATTGTAGAAAATTAATAAAATAGAGATAAACATTAAAAAATTACATCACCCATATTCCCACTGCCCAGGACTCACAATACTAATTTTTTTCTGTCTGTCTTCCCAGTGTTTCTCCACTCCTGTATATGTTTATACTGTACATATACTTACCTTTAACTTAAGACTGCATCAGAAGCATTTTTTCATGTCATTAAATACTCTCCCTGATGTGTTTTAGATTACCATGGAGTTTTCTGTTAGACAGGGTAGTTATATTCCTGAGTACCTTACTGCTGGATAATTATTTCCAGTTTTTGTCTTCTATAAATAAATGTTGCAATAAACATCCTTTTCTAAATGATTTGCATATCCATTAATTATTATTTTTTTTAATGAACCCTTAGAATTTAGGTATGTCAAAGTATAGACAGTTTTTCAAAACTTTTGAAAAATTCTGCCAATTGGCCTTTAAAAAAAAAAATGGTAAAAGCAATTTACACATTTACCATTAGTGTATATACCCTTACTAGCACTGGTTACTTTTTCTCTCAAATTTTTATTTTAGAAAGGTCATGGAAATTATAGATAAGCTAGGAAAATAATAAAATGAATGCTCAGATACTTTTTCACCAGGTTTCATTGTAAACATTTGGCCGTATTTGCTCTTTCTCCTTTGCCTTCTCCCTGCCCACGATATGGCAAACATACACTTGTGTGTGTGTGTGTGTGTGTGTGTGTGTGTGTGTGTTTGCAGGGCATAGGGTGGAGAGGACCTTCTAAAACACATTGCAAATACTAAGATAATTTAGTCATAAAAACTTAAATAGGCGTCTTCTAAGAATAATGACAATGGCTTGCATGACCATACCACCATTATCATAACCAAGAAAATTAACTTGAATAATATTTAAAATGTAATCCGGTTGCCCCAATTCCAAATTGGAAGTGCTGCTGACTGCCCCAAAGACGACTTTTAATTTCGTTACTTTGTTTGTTGCCCCATGATCAACCAAGACCGCACGTTGTATTCAGTTATATCTCTTTAGTGGTTTCAATCTAGAACTGGGTTCCACAGACTTTTTCTTAAAGGGCTGTATTAGTCTGTTTTCAGGCTGCTGATAAAGACATACCCAAGATGGCAATTTACAAAAGAAAGTAGTTTAATTGTACTTACAGTTCTATGTGGCTAGGGAAGCATCCCAATCATGGCAGAAGGCAAGGAGGAGCAAGTCACATCTTACATGGATGGCAGCAGGCAGAAAAAGAGCTTGTGCAGAGAAACTCCCATTTTTAAAACCATCAAATCTCATGAGACCCACATTCATTATCACAAGAATAGCATGGTAAAGACCTGCCACCATGATTCAGTCATCTCCCACAGAGTCCCTCCCACAACACATTGGAATTATGGGAGCTACAAGATGAGATTTGGGTGGGGAAACAGCTAAACCATATCAAGGGCCAATTAGTAAATATTAGGCTGTGAATGTCATATGGTCTCTTTTGTAACAATTGAACTCTGCTGCTATAGTATGAAAACCACCAGGGATGATGCAGAAATGAATGACGTGGTTCCAATCCAACTTAATTATAGCAGACCATGAGCTGGCCATAGTTTGCCAACTCCTGACCTCAAACAATCCTCCCTGCCGTTTCCTTGAAGAGTCCAGTTGTCTCATAGCATGTTTCACGCCCTGGGTTTCTTTGGTTGTTCCTTCATGATTAGTGTCTGGGTAAGCATTTTTATCAAGAGGTCTACAGAGATGTACATTTCCCGTTGCATTCCACTGGGAAGCTCATGTCAGTCATCCCAGAATTTGACCACTTGGTTTACCTGACATTCACTAGATCTCTCCATTGTGAAGATGCATTTCCATTTTTGTAATTAATAAGCAATCTGTGGGTGGTAGTTTGAGATCACGTAACTATCTTATTGCCCCATAGCTTCTCATCCAGGGATCCTGTGGTCATCCTTACTGAATCTATTATTGTGCTGAGGGTTAGAGAACAATGACCTTTTTGTTGTTTTTCTGAGATGGAGTCTCGCTCTGTTGCACAAGTTGGAGTACAGTGGCATGATATGCGCTCACTGCAACCTCCGCTTCCTGGGTTCAAGTGATTTTCCTGCCTCAGCCTTCCAAGTAGCTGGGATTACAGGCATGTACCACCATACCTGGCTAATTTTTTTTATTTTTAGTAGAGACAGGGTTTCACCATGTTGGCCAGGCTGGTCTTGAACTCCTGACCTCAGGTGATCCACCCACCTCGGCCTCCCAACATGCTGGGATGACATGTATGAGCCACTGCACCAGGCCCAGAAGAACAATGACTTTTCTAAATCATGCCTTCTGTTTTTATTGGCTGGCATTCTTCTATGCAGAAAAGCTGCCTCCCTCCATTTCATTTCTGTGTCTTCAGTATCACTGTGAATTCATGATTTTTGTTTTTACTCAGTTGTTTGAAATTCATCATTTACATTCTTTAAATGACCTCAGTTTGGCTGGTGAGGGGCCATTAAGTTGATTCCATCCCCAGCACTTTTAATATATCCTTGCTTTCTGGCTAAGATGTTCCAGTCTCATCATGTACTGTCTGTCTTGTACCTGAAATTAGCTGTTTCCCCAGGAACTCGGTGCTTCTTAATAGGGCATGGTATTAGAGACCAACATCTGGATGTCAGATACATATATCAACTCTGCTTATTATTAGAAAGAGATGCCAATTTTAAAAGCCAAATTATATCTATTTTGTAGTTGTACTTTATGGACTATGGGAGAGGCTGAGTATTTTTTCATGTTTTGTGGCCATGTGTATTACCTTCTTATGAATTGCTTATTCAAGTCCTTTGTGGAATGTCAATCTTTTTCCTACTAAAGTGAGTTAATACATTAAAGCACTTAGAATAGTGCCTGACACACAGTGCAGTGACATATTGCTAGGTGGCATTACTTCATATTTATCCTTTGTTGCAGGTATCCAGAGTGACTTAAACTCAGACCCCTGGACACACGTGTTGCTATTCTGCAGTCACAGTGGGGTGGGGACCTGTGCCTACGTCCCATGACGCTGCCTGCCACTGCCCAAAATGAATGAATGGGTCTATAAGTCACACCTCCCTTGTCATTCACATGGCTCTGGTTCCTGGTGATGGCAAACATGGGCTGGCAGCCAAGCCATACTGACAGAGATCCACGGTGTGCAGTCTCTCAGCATAAATAATGGGCCCAGAGGCCACTGCGGTTCACTGCTTCTCTCCCACCCTACAGGAGGTAGACTGGGAAGTGGAGCTGGCCGTGGTCATTGGAAAGAAAGGCAAGCACATCAAGGTGAGGTGGAAAGGGTGGGCTCCCAGGCCAGCCCCAGCTCCTGCCTCTCCTAGTGCTGACCTCACTCATGAATGCACGAGTGCCAGCTGTCCCCTCCTTGCTCCCTGACGCTGCCTTGCCCTTCACCCACCTGCGGCTCTCTCTGGCTACTAACATGGGATAACGACTTTGAGATCCTTTGCTGTAGGGGTTGGTATCACCTGTGATCTCACCTCCTGTATGGCCAAATCCCCTGCCCCCATAGGCCACAGATGCCATGGCCCATGTGGCTGGCTTCACTGTGGCTCATGACGTGAGTGCCCGTGACTGGCAAATGAGACGCAATGGGAAACAGTGGCTGCTGGGAAAAACCTTCGACACCTTCTGCCCTCTGGGCCCTGCCTTGGTGACCAAGGACAGTGTAGCAGGTAGGTCCCTGGTCCTTGCCCCCTTGTGCCTACCACTGCACAGATGAACAGCACTCCAGGGAGGAGTGTGGGTTCAGTACTTGTGCACCTGCCCTCCCTGGCTGCCTTTTCACTGCTGACTCCATACAGGGCAAGTCTGTTATCCTCAGCCATGATTTCTCCCATGGGCTTCCTTCCCAAGCCCCCTAGAGGGAACTCGACTGCAAAGGATATAAAACTGCATACATGAAGTAAATTACAAAGAACTCTGAGCTGATGGGTGCATCAGGCTTCCTGTGGCTGCCACTATCTGGAACAACCTTTAAGTTGAGCATCATGGAGCACAACTATCGCAAGGCCCAGGCATTTTCCGCAGTACAGGAGATGAGAGCCAGTAGGACTCAGCCAGCCACTGTGGAAACAACAGCACTGACCACACACAGTGAGGAGAGCGTGCCAGGACAGAGGCAGTGGCCCAGAGAGCAGAGCGTAGCCTCTAACGTACAGCCACCCACAACCGTGGTGAAGGTGGGGGGTGTCCATGTGGGCCAGCCTTGCCAGGATGCTGAAAACCCCAGTGCCTCAAAGCACCCCGTACAGAGTCCTTGGCAAAGTTAAGTTGTGTTTCAGATGCTCTACTTAAGGGGATAGAACACAAAGACCACCAGCAAAACAGTTAAAAGTGCTGGTTAGCCAGGATGCTCTCACGGTAATCCATCCCCCGCCAGCTTCCAGTACACGAGGCTTCACTCCCTGCTTGCGCCATTACCTCACTGCTCTGTCAATGTTGAGACTTTTTGTTTTGTTTTGTTTTTGAGGTAGGGTCTCTGTGTCACCCAGGCTGGAGTGCAACGGCACAATCTCAGCTCACTGAAGCCTCAACCTCCTGGGCTCGAGCAATCTTCCCACCTCACCCTCCTGAGTAGTTGGGACTACAGGCATGCACCACCACGCCTGGCTGTTTTTATTATTTCACTACATTCCCAAGGCTGGTTTTGAACTCCTTAGCTTAATCAGTCCTCGCCTGCCTTGGCCTCCTAAAGTGCTGTGATGACAGGCATGAGCCACTACGCTTGGCCCTGCCAAGTCATCTTTGTATCTACAAGTGTCATCCTATACTGTAGACAGATGCCCTTTTTTTTTTTTCCAAGACAAAAAGCCTAGGCATTTTTTTCTCCCCCTTCAGTCTGGAACAGCCTCTCAACTCATCCAAGTGACTACTGCCTGGTGCTCTTGGTGGGGATACAGGGAGGCCTGAGAAGGCCAATGTCTATATAGAGAGTTCTAACGTAGAGCACTGAGTCAGTGTAGGCACAAAGCCTTTTTGTCACCTGGAAAGTCACGAAGTCCCCCTACAGTTGTGTTTATGAAATAGGGAGCTGAGGGGGGAAAAGGGATAACTCCGAGGTACCATTTTTGCATTTCAGATCCACACAACTTAAAGATCTGCTGCCGAGTGAATGGGGAAGTGGTCCAGAGCAGCAACACCAACCAGATGGTGTTCAAGACAGAGGAGCTGATAGCGTGGGTCTCCCAGTGAGTGACAGGGCCTGTCCTGCCGGCGCCGCTTCACCTGCCACACATGTGGAGGCTGATGCGAGCCCTCCACCCTTGGCCGTGGCCAGCTCAGTCAGCCCTGGTTTCACTGGGTCCTGTTGCTTTTCTCCAGGTTTGTCACCTTTTACCCAGGGGATGTCATCCTGACCGGGACCCCCCCAGGTGTCGGTGTATTCAGGAAACCTCCTGTCTTTCTCAAGGTAGGTTAGCGAAAAGGAAAGAGAGGAAAGGCCCCAAAGGCCTGGCAGGGTTGGCTCAGATTGGAGAAGTACAGGCTGGCATGTATGTATGTGTGTCTGACAGAAGGGCTGACACCTTCACGGCCTCCTGCTCTGTTGCAGAAGGGGGATGAAGTCCAGTGTGAGATTGAAGAACTAGGTGTCATCATCAACAAGGTGGTGTGATGGCTCCTGCTCAGGCCCTCGACATAGGAGGGGGGCATCTGCTCCCACTTCAGCCTAGCCCAGGGAAAGGCCCAATGCCAGGTGTGCGCAGGGGCCAGCCCTGCAAGCCTCTTCTTCTAGGTAGAAGGGAGAAAGAAAACTCTCTTCAATAAACTCGTCGGGCCAAAGCAGCAGCTTGGCTTCTGCTACTGTTTGTCTTCTTTTGGGCTTTGTTTCATGGGACAAGTGGGGGCACTGTGGGACTGGGGAAGAAGGCAAATACACACATACATGTATGCCAAAAAGATACTGCTGGGCTTGGGAAAAGACAACACGACCAGTCTTCTTGTTTATTGTATCAAAGGAGGGAGAAAACAAGAAATGGCAAGGGACAACCAAGCCTCAATGGTTTTATAGACCAGCTAAGAGTTTGCAGCCTCCCGTCTTGTCTTCTGGCTCTAGGACACAGCTGTGTTCTGGAGCTGAGAAGTTTCAGCACAGGCTCCACCTCACAGTTTAGCTACAAATGAACTGCCGGATGAACTGTTCTAGTTTTTCCTGATTGTCCCGGCTGGCAAAAGTAGAAGACAGGTGGAGCCTGGGGCCTGCAGGGCTCGGCATCTGCTGCAGAACCTGGGCCATGGAAGATGGGCCGTGAGTGCCCTCACCACAGGGGTTGTGTCCATAGGGCCCAGGGGCCAGGCCTGTCCCCCAGAAACCTGTCTTGAGACCTCTGGCCCCTTAGGCCTCAGTGTTTAAGTGCAAATGCTGCCTCAAAGCAGCCCCAATACCCCACCTAGAAGGATGAGCCAGTGATTTGGGAGACCAAGAGGCAGGAAAGCCATCCCACCTTCTCCAACCCATCACCACATCTGTTGCTGGCAGACACCAGGTAAACCCCAGGGTCTTAATGAGGCACCATCAGGCCAGCCCTGTGGGGTGATGGAAACATAGCTGGGTTTTCTTGAGCAGCTCTATCGGGGTGGGAGCAGGAGGACAGGAAGATGGTGACATTGGTTCCTCTTACCCCTAGGTCTCTGAAGGTCCAGATAGCACTGATGGCGAGCTTTGGGTCCACACAGTCTGGAAAGAAGACAGAAGTGAAGGCTCTAGGTCGGGAGGACAGGGAGCCACTGGGCACAGGCTTCTCTCCTCCTCTTGTTTAAAGAAGGAGCCTAGGGAGGGATAGAGCTCAGACTCCACAGAAGACCCTCTATACTCTGCAACTCTTTTCCTAGGGTGGGCTGTCACTGTCCGGCAGGGGGCAGCAGCCACCAGCAAACACACACCTGCCTCCAGGAAGCTTGACTTCCCACCCAGAGCCTCCCTCAGGAAGAGAGGTAGCAGCTCAGCTCAGCATTCAGCAATGCCAGGGGCTGACTCCTTGGGACTCACCAAAGATCCCTTCTTCCTGGGCGGTGGCCTAGAGGAACTGAAACGGCTGCTTTGTGTAGCCAGACTCTGCAGAAGAGAGACCTAGACTTGGGGCCCCGCACAGACAGAGCCTGCCTTGAGGATTGCAAGGGAAGAAGGGCCTCACCAGTACCAGGCAGCTGGCCCTGGCAGAGGAAGGCGGCAGCCTGTGCGAAAGCCTTGAGCAGTGGGCTGAACAGGCGGCAGAGGAAAAGAAAGAAGTCCGGGAAGCGCAACTGCTGGCTAAGCTGGAGGGGTTGGGATGAGTGCAGCTCCCCACAGCCTCCCTACCACCTCCCTCCAGGGGCAGCTTCTTCCAACACACCCTGAAATACCTGCCCTCGGCCTCTTCAAAGTCATCACTGTCACTTAACAGTAAAGTCCCCACTTACCAGCTTTCTGCTCAATCACTGTCACCCTGTGTCACAAGCTAGCCCGGAGCCTGGGTTCTGGGGGCAATGGAACCATTGTTCTCTTGACAAGCTGGCCAGGGATCAACCCTACACCCCCAGATCAGGTACATGCAGCTGAATCCAGTAAAACCAGATCTGGAGTGCCCAAGAGGATACCCAGAGCCATGCCACACCACAGCACCTGCTGACTTGCAGAGTCAGAGGAAGTGAACACCCACCCTCAATGGCAGCAGTCCTGTGGCCAAGAAACTTGTGGAACAGGAGGTGTGCAGAGGAGTTCAGAGGCACACATGCCAGTGCTGTCCAGGGAGACGTACACGGACCCAGGGCATAGGTGGCCATATCCCAAGGCCCAGGGCACAGAAGTACGAGCTAGGCTTCCCACACCCACAGCACACACAGGACAGAGGAGGAGCCTGTGGCAGCTGGCACTGAGTCAGGGTTGGAGGCTGGAGGAGGCCAGGCCCCAGGCACGGGTCTTGTCTCCAATGGCCCTGCCTACCTCCTCAGCAACCAGGAGCCCACACTGGATGAGCCGGTCCAGCACCTCCTGACAGTAACAGTAGGAAGACTGACAGGGCTAGGGAGAAAAAGGGACCCATGTGGCCTCAGGCGAGCCTGGGCACATGGGCAGGGGCCTAGCCAAAGGCAGGGCAAGGCCAGACCCACCCAAAAGACTTCAGAGGTTGGTGCTTGGGCAGGGATGGCCATTCCTACCACTAAGAGAGGAAGGCCTAGGACCAAGTGGGCCATGGGGGAGGCCTGACCTGCAGCAGCAGCAGCTCTTGCGGCAGCAGGTGCATCAGCAGCAGGATCTGGCGGTACAGCTCGTTCTGGCTCAGCAGCTCTATGCCCTGCAGCTCCCAGGGCCCCTGGGGCGGCACTCTGCCTACCAGCAGCCCCCGCACCGCACAGGCTGGGGAAGGAGGGACCATTATGAGGAAGGAGCTGTTCCCTTAACACCTGCGTACACATCCCACCTACCCCTCAAGACTCACCGCCCACAGCCTCACTCAGGAAGACGGGCAGCAGCTCGGCACTCAGCCGTGCCAGGTGCGCAAGGCTTGGGCCGGGCCGCGGCACCACTAGCAAGTCTTCCTGGCGGATGCGTAGTAAGACCACGTGTGCCCGCAGCAGACTCAGTGTGTGCTGCAGCAGGCTCCGCAGCTGACCAGAGAAGCCTACATCAAAGCCACGCAACAGTATCTCCTCCGTCAGCCAGGAGAACTCCCCCAGGAGCTGCGACAGGAACACGCCCTGGGTGGGTAGAGCAGGGCTGAGCAGGAGGGCCACACCCCGCCCACTGAGGTCCCCACCATATTGTACCCCCTACCTTCTGGTGCTTGAAGAGCAGCAGCGTCGCCATGATGGCCGTGCTCATCACGGCAGAGCTCGCCACACTGGCTGGGGTGGGGTGAGGCAGGACAGCAGGTGGAGATGCTGGTCAGGCATTGAGGCCCAGCAGCCTGGTCCCTCCATTATCAGACATCCCCACTCCACCCCAGGGAGGGGCAACGTATGCCCAGAGCAGTGAATTTATCACACAGAGGCAGAGAGCCAGGCCAGGACCTGGGGGCTCTTCCCTGGGTCCCAACACGGGGCCCACACACCAACCCACAGCCTCCACCACACAGGGGCACTAGAGAAGATACTGATGCATCTCCCTATAAGGGCCCTCTGCACAGGCGCTGTGCTAAGCCCCTTACACGTATCATTCCATTCAGTCAACACCATCCCCATCCACAGCCAGGGAGACTCTACTCAGAAGGCAGGGCTGGGTGTGGCCTTGGGAAGCAGCTGCGGCCTCCTGTGCTCAGGCCATCGTCTGTGTCCATGCAATTAACTGCTCCCTCATACCGGCCCTGGCTGCCCTGCTCCTCCTGCAGGAGGAGGGTTCCATTTTCTTCAGATGGCCCCGAGGTCCCACAGAAGGAGGGCAGCTCAGGTGCAGACCCTCACTTGGAATGAAGGACCCTGGAAACTGGCTGACCCAGAGAGATAGGACAGTTCAAGGACCCACCCCCAAAGGCCCAGATCTGGTTCACCCTCACCACTCAGGACGTGATGGCTCAGTCTCCTGACCAGGAGCTGGTCCTCTTCCTTAAGGGCCAGGAGGGGCCCAGTTATAGGGGTCCACTCCTGCTCCTTCTCAGTGTCTGGGACAGCAGTACTGGGACAGAGACAGAGATCACAAAATGAAGGCACCAATCTAAAAACAGTTGTGAGGAAGCTCAGGGCTTTCTGAAAGGTGAGGGTGTATCCCCCATCCCAGTCCCAGGGCAGAAGATAGCATTTATAAACCCCAGCCCCTTCCAGGCCTCTGTGCCGTATCCCACACTCAGACTGTTAGCAAGGCGAGTGCCTGGAACTATCCTAGACCACCCCAGGATATTTGGTGAGGGAGGGCTGCTAGTGTGTTTGTGTCTACGGAGGATACATGAGCTGATGCTGACGGGCTGCCTGCCTTGCCCCTGAGGCCGTACGCTCCCTTGCCCCTACCATTGGCCCAGCACGATGGGCTGCAGCAGCTGCTCCAGGGTCTGCCTGCTGCCCCAGCAGCTCCTGGCACTGATGGTGTATTCCTGCCCAGGACAAGGCTATTAAGTGACCTGCTCTGGCCAACCAGGAAACTTGCCGACAGCCCACTGGAAGTAGGCAAGGCTATCCCTGCAGTAGTTTTGAGGGCCAGGCTGCCAGGAGGCCCAGGACAGACCTGCAGGTACTCCCAGCCTTCCCCAGCTGGCTCCATACCTGCAGGGAGAAGGGCTGAGCTAGGTGCACCCGAGAGCAGATCTGACGGCTGCTGCTCAAGTGGCTGCAGAGGCTCTGCAGGACAGCCAGAGCTCCTGTCCACAGCCCAAGGGGGGCTGAAGTCTGCAAGGAGGGAGAGGATAACTGTACAGCCTCACCGGGGGCACTACTCTCAGGTGGACATCAGGGCTTCCCACCCCATCCTGCTCTCCAGGGGTATCCTCAGGTCCCAGCCTGCTCAGTTTTGTCTCAGGCCACACTGGTGCATGACCTTGCCCCCAACCCCGAAGTTCCTGTTTTCTTATCCATCAAACAGGGAAAATCCCTCCCTATCAAGTCTTCAGAGGATGAAATGAGAAGATGGTAATGGCCCTGGCAGGTGCTACAAGATGACTATAGGAGTGATTCTTTTGAAGCCCCGCAGCTCTAAGAGGGACTCAGCCACAGGACACAATATTGTGCCTTCTGTCTGGAGCTGGTGTCCACCTAGGAGCCCCTTGCCTTATCAGCCTCTGCCCAAAAGGCTGTAGGGTCTCACATTCTCACATGGTATATGTCACATGGTGCATCTGGAACCACGTCATAGGTGACAGCCACTGGTACCAGCAGAGCATCTGGGATGATGCCCACCTGGACTGCCCTTACCACAAATCCCAGCCAAGCCTGGCCCAGGGCTGACAGCCGTGGCCCCAAGGCCCCAGGAGGTTCCTCCAGGAAGATGAGCAGGGGCTGCCCACTGACCAGCAGCTACTCTGTGACGTGGAATCGGAGGGGACAGAAGGGGTGTTAAGGCCAGTGCAGAAGCAGACCCCTGTCCCCTTAGCCTGGCCTATACATAACCACTGGGGGCACTCACCGCCTGGACCACAGCCCTTGCAAGGAGCCCCTCAGAGCTCTCCAGGGAGAGGTTGGCCTCTGAGGCCAGGAAAAGCCCCCCAAGCTTCCTCAGCAGAGTTCTGTGGGACATAGGGCAGAGCCTGATAAGGCAACGGGCTCTGAAGATGAGAATGAATAAAGGGATAGCAAGAGTCTCAGCTCCCCCAGGAATAGACTGTGTCCTACTTGAATAAACTGAGGTGAAGCCATGGCCCTAGGGCCTGTGGCTGACCCCTCCATCTAAGCCCCACAGGCTAGACTGCTGTGTGGCTGGGAACAGAGAAGCCAGGAAGAAGGCCTTTGGCAGGGAGCTGCCGCCAACACACCCCAATACACACCCGACCCCAGCCTGCAACTTCTCCCATGTGTGTCTACAGACACAAGGTTTTTACCTGAGGGCAGGGGAGCAGACACGGGAGTCCCAGGCCACACGGAGCACACCCAGGCCCTGGGAGAGCAGCACAAAGGGCAGCAGGATCCCATCCAGGAGGGTTTTGTGAGTAGAGAGGAGGACAAGCGGTGAGCCCTGCTCCGGGAAGAGCCAGAAGGAAGTGCCAGCCTGCCCCACTCTGAGGACACAAGCAACCAAAAACCCAGGGCACCCCCGGAGGGAGGGAGGGCTCAGCTGAAGAGTTCTTCATCTGAGCACATTTCCCAAAAGCAAAGGAGCCTTTCCAAAACTGCACTGACGCACCGACTTAATGGTTGTTAAGACCATGATGAAAAGACATTAGAGGAAGCCCCGTGGGAGCAGGACCGTGAGACACAAAGGGAAGGTCGGCAAAGAGCAGTGGATTTTTCCCACCAGCTGATGGGGACTGCACTGCTGTATGGCTGGGAGCAGAGAGGCCAGGAAGCAGGACCAGATGGGGACTACTCCTGACTTAAGGGCTTGGCCCAGCCTCTGCTCCTCTGCTTCTCTGCTCCTGCCATCCCCATCCCAAAGGAGGGCAGGCCTTACCGCCTGGGCAGCCTTGTGGACCATCTTCATCTGACCCTTGTGGAGCTGCACATTCAGGAATACGCAGTTCAGAAACCGCAGCAGCGCCCAGCTGAACAGCCTGGGAGTGACACCGGGGCTGAGGTGCAGCAAGGGCGATGCTCAGCCCCAAGTCACCTTGGAGGGCTGCCCAGAGCTCCTCTAAGGCAGGCCCCATCACTATCATCATTTTACAAAAGAGAAAAGTAAGACTCAGGGAAGCTACAGAACTGCTTCATGGTAGAGAATACTAAGAAGCAGCAGTGCTGGGACTGTAAGTTCTGACCCAGAGTTCATACCCACCAGATGCTGCTACTCTCCCAAGACCTCATGGTGCAGGTGCCTCACATGAGAATCAGAGCATCTGCCTCCATTTACTCTA